AAGCACAGAAACAAAAAAATTGTTAAAACTATCGAGGATAATAAGAGAACATAAATATATCGAATAGAGAACATTTATTACAGATTGTGGAAACATTCTATGAATCACTATACACCAACCATTCTACTCTAGACTCGAGGAAGTACTTACAAGGAAAGGTTCAAAATCAGGGTTTTGAGGATGTTCCGGAAATCTCTGTAAGTGAAATTTACAATGCTCTAAAAAGGATGAAGAACAATAAAGCTCCGGGGGATGATGGTGTCGTCACAGAAGCGATAAAGATGGGAGGAACAGTATTAATGACCAATATTCAACGGCTGTTCAATCTCTGTCTGGAAAATCAAAATATCCCTACAAAGTGGAATAACTCAATAATTATCCTCTTACATAAAAAAGGAGACATAGCACACCTGGAAAATTACAGACCAATTAGCCTTCTTAACCATCTTTATAAACTAAATACCCGAATTATAACAAATAGACTAGAGGCAAAATTGGATTTCTACCAACCTAAAGAGCAAGCTGGTTTCCGTTCCGAATTTGGTACCAACGATCATCTGCAGTGTTTAAAAACCTTAATAGAAAAAACCATCGAATACAATCGTCCCTTAGCACTGATATTTGTCGATTTTAAAAAAGCGTTCGATACGGTAGAATTACCGGCCATCCTAACAGCGTTACAAGAATGTAGAATCGACCATCGATATTGTAACATAATAAAAAACATATATGACAATGCTACAACTGTAAATCTACATTCTACAACTAACCAGATAAAAATAAAACGGGGAGCCAAAACCATGTCGCCAAAATTGTTTATTACTGTTCTTGAGCATGCATTCAAAATGCTAGTTTGGTAACAAAAAGGAATAGTTATCGATGGAGGGAGACTCAACCACCTACGCTTTGCGGATGATATCGTTATAGTGTCAGATAGTCTGGGAGAGATCAAAGACATGCTTCAAGAACTTAACGATGCATTACACGAGATTGGACTAACAATAAATTTTGACAAGACTAAGATAATTACTAATATGGTACCCAGCGAACACATACAAATTCACAACAGAATAGAATTAGTCCACAAATATGTATACTTGGGCCATGAGATCAAAATAAGCAGAGATAACTAAACCTGTGAACTGGCTAGATGAATTACCTTGGGATGGGCGGCTTACGGAAAAATGAGGGACATCTTTAGAGCAAATATCCCAATACACCTAAAAAGGAAGGCATTTAACCAATGTATCCTTCTGATTTTGATCTATGGCGCAGAGACACTCACTCTAACAAAAGCAACCGCAGAAAAATTGAGAGTGACACAAATCTATGATTGGCCTTGAGAGATCGAGAAAGAAATGAAGAGATACGCCGACGTACGGGAGTGGATGACATTATCCAGCGAATCACAAAACAAAAGTGGAGATGGGCTGGACACATTGCTAGAATGGCAGACGGGAGATGGACCAAAAGACTTATAGAGTGGAGACCAAGAGTCGACAAGCGTAGCCAAGGCAGACCTCCCACCCGATGAACCGACGACCTGAAACGAATAACAACTAACTGGATTGCAACAGCTAAAAACCGCGAGTACTGGAGACGTTTGGAGGAGGCCTATGTTCAACTATGGATGTGAAAGGGGGCGGAGTGATGATGAGTTCCTAATAATTTCCTAATAACGCCAGTGCTAAGTCTATTAGGTTAAGTTTCCCCTGTTTTTATTAAAACTATTATACAGTAATGTTGCGAACTTACCAGAGGGTACCATCATGTCACTAAACCGAATTTTGAAGGTAATTAAATAGAAACAATATTACATTGAAAACCGCACTTTTCACGTTATGTTTACTGGCAAAATAATGAAACAAACATAGCAGCATATCTTGAGTCCTGAAAAAATGTGAGTTTACTTGTAGATCTTATTAATTTATTTTCCCTATTTGGCTCTTGATTGTAGCTTATTTTAAATATATTATGTTTTAGTGACTAGAAGCATACAATGACACTGGCTGGCATGAAAAATGGATACCTCAAAATTTTCATGCATTAAACCTTCAATAAATTTTGTTTAGTCGGTCGATTTTGTGTGGGTAAATTATTTGACATTTTAGACTCGATTTAGCACATTTGGACTCGATTTAGTACATTTGTCTCTTATACGAAGAAAAACAAATTGTAGATATAAAAAAATTGAAAATTTCTACCTCTAATTTTCATATTCTGAATGCTTATGTTATATTATAACATAAGTGATTGTTCTTAAAGGTATCATTCCATTTTCCATGTTTAATTTACCTTTTAACTGTAAAAGCGGCGGCTGAATTTTTTTTGTTCGTCCACATTATTAAATATAATAAAACTGGTAATATTACCACTTTAATATTACCACACTGGTAATATTACCACAATTATTACCACTTTTAGTAGAAACAATTGCTAGTTGCCAATTAAAACTATAGAAAATTAATATTTATTTAAAAAAACATAACAATTATATTTTCTATAATCGTAGAAATCAAGTATTGGTACACTGAGTGAATGTTGTACAGGGTGGTCGAAATTGGTCTGTTTTAACAGAAAAAATCTATTTCCTGACTAGATAGAGCAAAACCGACGTAGATGTCATGGATTCGATTTCTGAGACAAGTTTAATGGCATAAACCGCAAGTTGATACTTTCACTGCCAACTGAGATACGGGGTCTTTTTTAATTTTTTACCATTTTGAAAATTGCCCATAACTTTTTTATTCCGCGGAATAATAAAATTCTGTAAAGACGTTTTTAACGCACTTTTTTAAACACAATCCAGTGGCGTAGTCAGTTTTTTTTCTATGCTTGCTCTTTTTGTCATAAATAATAAAAAATATAATTATGTAAATAGAAATCATAGTTGGCTATGAACTTAAAAAAATTCTGATGTTTAACCCTTTCCAACGATATACAGTTATGGGTATTTATTTCTAAGAATGAGAGAAATATTAGAGTTTTTTATCTTTGTATCGAAGCGGGCCTTGATTTTCTGTTGACCTAGTTGCCTAATTATTTTTTATCGCAATTTAATATTCTATATTATTATTTATCTGCAAAATTTAAGACTTTTGAAAAGATAAATCAACATTCTATATTAGTTTTGCCAATTACAATTAAGACGCCATTTAAATGAAGAATTTAGAGAGAATTGGAGTGGAACAAGGGGCCCCATATCTTGGTCTGCTAGGTCCTGTGATTTAACTTCTTTCGACTTTTTTATAGGGGGAATTAAAAGACCTTATATATATATATGAGAAGAACCATTGGACGAGAGAAGAATTGCAGAAAGCTACTAGGCAAGCTTTTGTACTTATTACAACAGTTCGCTTAATAAATCGCTGTGACTCTGTGCGCAAAGGATGTTTATTATGTATTCAACGAGGAGGTACTCATTTTGAACATCTTAGATGAGTTTTTTTAGAAAACTATATTCGTCACTCAAAAAATACTTTGTTTAGCTTTGTTCTTTGTTTATTGTATGGATTTCACTTGTAATTACTAAAACTAATATAGAATGTTAATTTACTTTTTCAAAAGTCTTTAATTATGCAGATAAATAGTAATATGGAATATTAAATTGCGATAAAAAATAATTAGACAACTTGGTCAACACAAAATCAAGGCACACTTTGATACAAAGATGAAAAACCTAATATTTCTCTCATTCTTAGAAATAGGTACCCATAACTTTATATTGTTCGAAATGGTTAAATGCCAGCATTTTTTAAGTTCATAGCCAACTATGATTTCCATTTAAAAAAATTATATTTTTTATTATTTCTGACAAAAAGAGCAAGCATAGAAAAAAACTCACTACGCCACTGGATTGTGCTTAAAAAAGTGCCTTAAAAACGTCTTTACAGAATTTCATTATTCCGCGAAATAAAAAAAATGGGCAATTTTCAAAACGGTAAAAAATTCAAAAAGACTCCGTATATCAGATGGCAGTGAAAATATCAACAGGCAGTTTATGCCATTAAACGTGTCTCAGAAATCGAGCCCATGACATCTATGTCGGTTTTGTTCTATCTGGTCAGGAAATAGGTTTTCTCTGTTAAAACCTTTGAATAAGAAGACTAAGGAAGGAGCATATCAAAAATCTTAGGTACACCGCGATGGGCCTCAAATATGGCCGACTTAAATTCCGGTTTATCAGTGTCGTTCTAATTTTATTTAAAAAATGTAAAACTATGATGTAGGGTAGACGTGGGGTAGACTCAATAATTTGTTGTTTTATTTTACGTTGTGAATAAATGTTGGTAGTTATTAAAATTGTTATAAAAATATATAATTCTAATAAAAATAGATAAGTTATAATAAGTATTTATTAACACAAACATCCGATGCGCTACTGAAGCAGGTAAGTCAAATTAACGTATCTAAATTCTTTGACATCTAATCTTTGACAAGTAATAAATAAAAGCTAAAATGCAAGAAAAATATATAATTTAGTTAATTTTAGTGAATTTCATAAATAATCGGTTTACTACACGTATGTATATTATATAGTCACTTACTAGCGAAAAGTTGTTCCATTATTTCACTCAATTTTTGCTGAGATCTACCGCACGCTACACAACCAACTATTTTAGAGTCTTTTTCGATAAATCGCGATAGTGTCACTGTTAATTTAAGTTCTGCCACAATTTCCATCTAGATTTACTACCTTTATACAACTATCAGTAGTAGAATAAATAATAAATAACATAAAATAAGCTCCGTAAAGACTGACAAATCCACAAAATTTCAAATCAAATTCAAATGTGTCAAATGAATCGTCAAACAGAACTGTCAAGGATCCCCACCCTAGAGAGCTTTTATGGTGGCTTTTCCGCCCACCATGCATGAATACATGGATAGCATTATGCTCCTTCCTTAGTCTTCTTACTCAAAGGTTAAAACAGACGAATTCCGACAACCCTGTACATAAAATTTTAATTTTCATCAATACATGTATGTGTCGAACGATGAAATTCAAACAACTCTATCCTTAAAAATATACTTTATGAACATGGCACTAAGTTAAAAATAAATACAAAAGTATTATCTATTTGTACAACAGTATTTACACGTACGAAACATTAACAGCTAATGAGTTTTATCATTGTGACAATCAATAAAGACTAAGTTTAAGTTTTATTTATTTTCGTGATGGACTCTGTACAAATTATTGATTAATTTCGCAATTTCCTGTCTGTTAATTTTTTCCGAAGGTCTGTCGTAAATTACGGTCTCCTTGTTAAAGTTTAACGATTCTCTGGCGAGGGCGCTCGCTACATTAGGATTGCTGTAAAAGTTGTCGGACTTTTTCAATTCGCTCGGTATGACCGATTCCTCCAGCGATGTTTCCACGGCTTTCGGATGGGCAGGAAAACTTCTGAAATGAAATTAAATAAAATTTCGGTCTTGAAAAGTCTTAAAAAGATATAAAAAGAAATAAAGTTTCGTTTGGAAATATCAATAAACCTTTTTCGAAAGCAGGTTCGGTGCAGTGGCGTACAGATTTTATTATCCAAGCAAAATATTAATTTTAAAGCTACAAAATACATACATATACATATACCCTAATAGTTTAATTGTTTATTTTTAAACCTTTAGATTATATCCACATATTTCTTTTTTTCCTTTTCTTGGGTATGAGGCTTTTTTAATAAATTGAAAGATGGAAACTTTTTTTATGCGACGTTTCGCTCCATCATAGTGGGCTTTTACATAGACAAGCACTACTTTATTCTAAAAACTTGAAGTCTTGCTATCACCAGTCTGTATAAATTAGTGTAGTAAATAAAACACACATCAAACAACTGAAAATTATTGCGCCATACACTATAAACAATAAAGTACACAATGAATATCGATTCGGAAGTGCACTGTTGGACTGTGGGCAGTTTTTATCCCTTTATCTATGAGCGGTATCATTTCTATGACGTAGTAGATGACGTTTTTGATAATGGCGGATCGAGTTACGAGACAACCTTACCTTCTAATAACCTTGAGCTACGCTAGAGTTTTGGGGGTTAGGTTAGATTGGTTCTGGCGCTGATACGCATAGCGTCTTTTGTATTTTTCTAATAAAAATTGATAAAATTTATGTGGTGAAGTTTGAATTTTGTGTATTCTTACATACGAAACACTATCTTTTAAGTAAGAATTTTACATAGAATCTTTCAAGTCCTCGGTGGCCGCATGTTTAAAGCGTTAGGACTTTACGCTGCTATGACGTTGGAGCCGTAGTAAGGCAGGTTCGAATCCTAGTCAAGGCGACTTTTTTTTAATCGTTTTTTTTTACTTTTTACATATTTATTTTTACTTTTACATATTTATTATTGATTAATACAATTTTTAGTAACGTTTCTTCATTTTTTTAAATTTCTTATACGCGCATTCAAAGCATTCAAAATTTCAGCTAAACCGGAAAAAAAGTTTATAATAATATAGTGTCTAATGTTATATAGGTAATGAATGGGTGAACCCTTTGTGCGCGAGTCGGACTCGAACTTGACCATTTTTTTTATTTTCAAAGTATAATATCTCGGTTATTACTTATTTGAAAAACTGTAAAGAGAATATATGTTTCTTTTCTTTTATATTACGATATCTACCAAGCCTGATTATATTTGCACATATTTAAGACTCATCCTGTATATCGTAGTTTTTTTACGAGAGTATCAATTAATTAAAATAGGTTAACTTACAAAGACGGCGATGGATCAGGATAGTATTGCGGTGCATGGCCTAAACTGTATGTTCCAGGGTAAACCAGTGGCGGTGGAGATATTAAGTTATACGACGATATTAATTGACCAGCTTTCACAATGCTGGCATAAAAAGCAATGGTTGCCACAGCGAGGTAGGACTTCATTATCTGTAACAAAAAATAGGCTATAAGAATAAGTCACTGCGTTAGCTCTGATTTTTTTATATTTTAATTGTTTGCTGAATATATACTTTTATTGCCAAAAAACTGTTCAGTATAACCGATAACAAGATAAAATATTTTGACGTACGTCGTATGAAAAAAATAAAGCTTCATTCAGAATATTGAAATTAGTGGAACAAATTAGTGGTTTCAATAAGCGTAGAAGTTTGTTCCTCTAGTTTCATTGTAAACATTTACAACGTCAAAATTAGTCGTAGTAATTTTCAATTAGCAGAAAAAGTTTACTAACTTTTAACTTTTTCCACTAATTATAACGTAGAAGTTGGTTTCTCCAATTTCAATGTAAGCATTCAGTACGTCAAAGTTATTGGTAGTAATTTTCAATTAGTAGAAAAAGTTAACAAAATTTTAACTTATGCCACTAAATATACTTTAAAATTTGCGCGTAATATAATTTTGGCCTTTGATCATCCGTCAAAAGAAATTGTGGTTAGAAAAGAAAAGTTTATTGTTTTAAGGCTAAATTATTAGGCTTTCTCTATGAATACAACTGACTACAGCAAGCTAGGATATTCTATTAATTTTAATTATATCTTTTTAGGTATTGTAAATGATCATAAATTTTTAAGTACAAAATATCATTGAAATCACCAATTTCGATTCAGATTCTAATCCAGAGATTTCAAAATTATATCCCGATACCGAAAATTGGAAACCTTAATTGAAACCACTAATTTGTTCCAATAATTTTCAGGGTATGAATGAGGCTTTATTATAGAAAATTGATTATAAAGTATCAAAGAAAAAAAAATTGTTCCAAATTAGAGCAATTTGCAAATTTTCAAAAATATATAAGAAATTTCAAAGTATAATATATTTTTTTGGATATTTCTTTAAATGAAATTCCTGTACCATGCATGATACACAGCGCAAGCTGCGCTAGAAGCTATTCTGGACTTGCAATCAATCGACTGGCTCGTGAAGGATCTGGCCGCTAAAGGTGCCCTAAAATTAATGGGAATCCAATCTGTGGAACCAGATCAACTACGGTCAGTCGAGGATAAGGAGTTGCAGCTAAGGAGTCTCTCCAGTCCATTTTTCATTCTTTTGGTATACTCATGCATGTAGACTCACCAACTAGAATAACTAAAACTAGCCCTACTACTATATACTATGTCGTGTCGTCTTTTGACCCGGAATTCGTTGACTGTAGAGTCCTTCACTCAGGTTTCTCTGATCATGAGGCAGTATTGACAAAGTTTTTGCCAAAATCCAAATGCAAAAATACCTCGCGCAAATTGGGCCGTATTTTTTCGGATGAAAATTTTCTAAATTTTCACCATCTATGTCTGACAACTGAGTGGGTTGTCCTCTCGGCTGACGTCGATTCGGAATTTTCTAGATTTATGGATACCTTGTCTAATCTGGCGTACAAGGCGTTTCCTCTTAGGCCTATCAAAATTAAACAAGGTATACCCTGGTCTACTACAGGCTTGCGTATATCTGCAAAGAACATGCGCTCATTATCTCATCTTAAGAAATTCACGGACAGCGTCTTCTTTCATAATTACGTGAAAATTTATAGAAAAGTTTATCGAAAGACTATAAAAGCTGCCAAGAACATTTATTATAATGCGGGGCTAGCCAAAGCCGGTAATGTCGCTAAGGAGACTTGGGCTCTTGTAAATGACTTAAGGAATAAGGCTTCTTCGTCTGGCATAGTCTTTAATTCACCTGAAGATTTAAACACTTACTTTGTTAATGTGGCTAAAAATTTAGTGAACACCATAACTCCTTCCCATGATTTACTTTCATATCTCCCTAAAGCAAATGAGAATTTACACAGTTTCTTTTTCACGCCCGTAGCATTAGATGAGCTCCGTAGTACAATTAATAGTATTAAAAACAAATCCTCATCTGGGACTGATGGGCTTACTCTCAAAATGTTCTCTGAACTTCCTGAATGCACATTAAACCATCTTACTACTTTAATTAACGAGTCATTCCAAAAAGGAGTTTTTCCAAACTGCCTTAAGACAGCAATAATTATTATTCCTCTGTATAAAGGAGGAGATAAAGATGAAGCTTCGAACTATCGCCCAATTGCATTCCTGCCCACATTATCTAAGATCATTGAAAGATTCGTTAAAAAAGGTTTCTATCTTTTCTCCTTAAATATAAGATTCTTACTACCCATCAATTTGGATTTCTAAGTAACAGTTGTACAAATGATGCTATGTTCGACCTTTTTAATAATGTATACTCTAGCCTGAATAACCAACACTCTACAGCTACAATTTTCTGTGATTTCTCTAAGGCTTTCGATTGTGTAAATCATAATATCTTAATTAACAAATTGCTTTACTATGGTTTCAGGGGAGTGCCGCTCGAATGGCTTAAGTCATATCTTGGCAACAGAAGGCAGCTTGTGAGGATTGATACGTCTATGTCTTCTTGTAAGCCTATAGAATGTGGTGTCCCTCAGGGTTCAGTACTTGGCCCTATTTTGTTTCTGGTGTTTATCAGCGACATTTCAAATGTAGACATTAGCGATAAAATCTCCCTCTTTGCGGACGATACTAGTTTCACTTGGAGCGACCCAGATGTTACGGCACTATATGATACTATATCTAATGACTTACTACACCATTAAATCTTGGTGCGATTCTAATCTCCTATGCCTCAACCTGTCAAAAACTAAAGTTTTGTCATATAAACGTACTATACAACCTTTTGTACTTAATAACACCACTATTGACGTCGTGGACTCTGTGAAATCTTAGGACTTGTTGTAGATAACTCGTTAAAATGGGACTTTCACATCGAAGCTCTATCAAAGAAACTAAGCGCTCCCTGTTTTGCAGTAAGATCAGTTTCTAAGGAACTTAACTTCTCACCCTCTAGAATAGCCTATTATGCCCTTTTTGAGTCACATCTTCGTTATGTCCTTCCGTTCAGGGGTACTTGCTGCGCAACAAAATTTGATCCTATTTTCAGACTTCAAAAGAGAGCAGTTCGATATTTATTGGGACTGAACAGCAGAACTCACTGCCAGAATTTCTTTAAAAATTTCAAAATACTGACTCTTCCTTCTTTATTCATTTTTGAATCCGTTTGCTTAATCCGCAAGCACATATATCTGCTATTCCCGAAAGGCCATCTCATAACTATCCACTTAGGAATGCAGAGCACGATCTTTATCTGCCAACCCCGAGCTCAGAACTAGTTAAAGGTTCAATACTGTACAATGCCAAAAAAGTGTACAGTCATCTGCCTTTGAATATCAAGTCGCTTTCATTCTTATCCGCATTTCGCAAAGCTCTAAAATCATACTTACTGGAGAGAGCCCTATATACGGTAAACGACTTACGTTTGTTGATGTTTAATTATGAACAATTTTGAATTTTAAAATTTTGATCATCTCACACACTGGTCAAAGGTCAAGTATTTAATATTTTATAACTCTAAAATTATATCTATTTACTGCGTACTGCTCTGCAATTGTCCATATATATTCTTTTTGTTATTTTAATGACTTAAATTTTTTTGAATTGTATTATTTGTATTGTGTATTTTTTGTTGTTTGTATTTTTGTATGCTTTTATTTGTTTTGTGAGTGCTTTGTCGATGAAGCCGTTTTGGCTTTTTTTATAATAAAGCGTTGTTTGTTTGTTTATTTGTTTGTTTGATATTGCCAGTGATAGGGAAAATCAAGGTGAGCACGAGTCCACATCTGCTAGGCCAGCCCTATGTAAGACAGAGTTCTGAACATCTTTGTTATATCTATCCAATCTGAATCATCTAACACCATACTTTATTTATTCAAAGAACATTTTTGTCAGGCACTTTGTCAGTCTAAACACGTTCAAATTATAAAATATTTTTTATCATATATACTTAGTTTATGTTACGATATCTTTAAGTATACTTCAATTGTAAAAAATGAATCCAATTCTTTCTATTTTTTAATACTTGCCTTTCTAGAATAGATATGAAAACCCTAACAGAGAGAATTGTATCGGAAAAGTCATTAAACTCCGAGTTTCGTCGAAAACATTTGTACGTTTCATAGTCTCAGGAAATTGAAAATTGCAGATATTTTTCTATAATATTCTGTCTATTGGACATTTAAATTTCTTGTTTTTGTTGTATATTAACTGATTTACTTTTTTTGCATGACTTTCTAAAATAGACAAATTTTAGAAAGAAATGTTACTTATGTTACGATATTATTTAACAACGCAAAAATTATTTAATGAAAGAAGCGATAGCCTCTAAAAGAAAAATAAAAGCGGATTTAATTGAGGACAATCTAATAAAAATAAATGTATTGCTAATGCATGTGTCGATGTTAGTAATGTATGACACCCGGTTCTTTTTTTTTATGAATATAACATAAATAAACATAGCATGTAAAAATTAAAAAAATAATCAGACAGAATTTTTTAGAAGAATTTAGAATGAGTGGGAGGGGGGTTAATCACTTCGACCTTACAGATCCATTGTGTCCCCCTTTCTTGAATCATAACTCATCATACAGTCCCAGGGCTTTGACAAAAGCCAGTATCTGGGACGGTTTTATAGAGGGTAGTTCTCCATCTCCAATATCAGTCGTACCAAAATTCATGGCACGAATGGTTGTCGTCTCGGCGCACTCAGTGATGAGGTGTACTGGTGTTTCACCATCTTCCCCACAGAATCTGCATTCGCCGTTTCTTCTTAGTTTCAATCTACTGAGGTGTTCATTGAGGAGACAGTGTCCTGTTAAAAACCCCGTGACAATCCGAAGATTGTTCTTACTCAGACCCAGGAAGATCTGTGATTTTTCTTGATCATAAGCCCTCAGAAACTTCTTCGTCAGAAACTTCTAAGCAATAAATGTATTGCTAATGCATGTGTCGATGTTAGTAATGTATGACACCCGGTTCTTTTTTTTTATGAATATAACATAAATAAACATAGCATGTAAAAATTAAAAAAATAAT